CCACTGCTGTCATTCACACTAGACTCTCTAAGTTTTGTACAATTCCCTAGGCCAGCTGCACATTAAGCTTGCTGCGTGTGGCTTTATTATAGCACGGTGGCAAGAAAGCATTAATATTCCTATGCTGCATCTGACAGGACATTTCCACGCACTCATCTGAGCTCGCACCTGAGAGCTGCCTTGAGGTGCTATGGCTGTGCTTGCATCTCTAACATAGAGAAACACCAGCACCCTGCTGGGATGGGGCCATCCTTGCTGCACTGCACCCCACACAGCCCCCAGCTCCATGCTGTGCCCTCTCCAAGCCCCCCGGTGCAAATTCCAAGGGTTGGGAGACACGGTCAGTGCGTCTCTCCAGCAGAGCTGATAAGCGAAGTGACCCAGCGCCACGCACTGACACCGCTGGGAAGCACCAGAGGACAATTTAGGGTTTGGGCTCTGTGCCACTCGATTTGGCCCACGCTGGCCGGTGCCCTTTGATGCCAACGCCACACACCTTCACTTGGGATCAGGACTCCATGCTGGGTGGAAATTCATTAGGAAATAGGAAAACCCAGCCTAAATACGGTGGTCATTTGTGGGTATATTAATGAGCCTGCTGCTTGTTAAAGGATGCAGTAAGTCACAATAGGACATGTGCTGATATCAGCCACGACAGGCCCAAACCTGCTGCACTTACTGCTACTGGGATGCAGACCAGGCCCAGCAGGCTTCTAGGGTCAAGATAACAAACCAGCCAGTTGTGGGGCCACGCTACCTGTACAAATGCAAGTCTTGATTCACTAAATCCTACTGAGCTTAGCACACTTGATGAAATCCAGCAAAGTCTCGGCAGTGGCCGCACAAAGCCAAGATCTGCAAAGCAGCTCCAAGGGGTGAGATACAGCAGTGCTACTCAGCCAGCGGGTCCTGCACTTGGAATGGCACCATGCCAGTTCAGCTCAGTGCTAAATGGCATTTACTGCAGGGCTGCTGCTCTGGATACAAAAACGGGCTGAAGCTGGGAGGAAATTCTGTCAAAAAAATTGTCTGTAATGAGGATCCATGCAGGCAAACAACCGGAGTCTGAGCTCCCATTGCCTGACACTGCCTCTCAAGCATCCTTAATTGTCTTCATTGTTTGAATTAAATAAAAAACAAGCGTGTGTGCCGAGGGTTGTACAACTGTGTGCATGCCCTTACTTTAAGTGAGGCATTACAAAAATATGGAGATGTCTCAGAAAGTCTTTCTTTTACCGTACTAATTAGAAAGTGGTTAATTGAGCCCTCCTCAGCTCCCTGCCTCGTTTTCCAGCAGCACTGCTCAGACCAGCTCCATGGGACCGAACCTGCTCCAGCTCCCAGCTCCCAGCACATGATGTCAGTGCATCCCCTACCACCCGCAGGCTGCCTCTGTGGCCATGAGCGCTCTGGCCACAGACACATTTCAGCCTATGGGGAGCTTCACAATTATATATCACATGTAACAAGAGGAAGAATGCAGAACGTATTTCTGATCCTCAAAACAAGATCTGACTGATGGGGAACAAAATAAAAAAGAGAGATAGAAGGTATTAACACTTCTGCCACTTCCCTGGAACAATCATGCTGAAGCAAAGGAAAACTTTTTACCCTGCCTCGTTCGAGTGAACTCGTATTTGTTTTTCCAATAAAGAGTCATCTTTACATTAGCCATCCAAAACAGCGAGGATAGGAAAACAAACACAAGCTTTACATTGTACAAAGGACAATGTTGGCATCACATGCTTGTGTCTTCAAAAAGCATTATTTCCAGGAGGCACTGGGGAAGGCCAACAAACCACAGGCACTTCTCCAGCCCTGCACGAGCAGTGTTCCAACAACTTGATCCCCATATTTTTTACATTTTTCCCCAGAAGTAAATTTCACAGCCATACAAGCCACTACATTTAATTAAGCTTTCAAAAGTCTTCTGACAATGCCAACAATTGAAAGACACTTCTGCAGCTCAATCATGCAATCATTGTGACACTTCTATTTACAATTTGTCTTAGAAAGAGTTTCTCTGACATTGTACTTTAACAAAACAGCCAAGCTGCCAGTTCACAACCTTTCTCTGCCTTATTTATTACCAACAGGGCTCGCACACAGGGCTGGTTCCAGCAACAAGCCCCTGGTAGCACCCGTGTGGTTTTTCCATTGGGGAGCTGCACAGGCTGATCTGACTGCTTTTCATTCAGAGAAAGCAGAGTGAATTTCACTCTGAAATGCTTCCACTTTTATTTTTTCCTCCATGAATGTAATTCAAGTTTTTATCTTATTGCCCAGATGCAACGCTAAATGTTCTGCTCAGATCTCAATGATTTTTCACTCAGAACAAAATAAAATAATAAGGAATTGCAATTTACAACACACAGAATTCTAATGGCAGCTACAAATAACAATCCAAAAAAATTTCCTTGGCGTAATGACTTGACACAGACATGATCTCCTGAGAACAGCAATAATCAGATGCACCTGATTCAGAATTCAGTACCAAATTATGTCCGCTTTCCCTTTGATTATGAGAGGGATTTCTTACGGTGTTTTTCCCCATTATTATATTTGAATCCAACAAGGCGCTCAAGAATAAAGGATGCCAGCACTGCACAGTGACCTCCCTCTTCCCCACGCAGCCACTTGGCACTCACCAGCACCGGCCACGGCCAGAGGGGCTCTGACAGGACTGGCAGCACTGTGGGTCCCTGCTCGCCCCAAACAGCCTTCCTTAATTCCCCCAGATTTATACACCCAACCAGCGGAACACTACAACCTGACACGGGTGGACAATAAATATTTCTTCAGCCTTTTCAATAAGTGAACAGCGATTTTACATTCACTGATCTCTAGATACTTCAGTTAATATTTCCCCCATTGTAAAATACGAGACCAGATCGCTAAACCCCGGCCGCAGCACTCACTGCAAATCACAGCCTGCTGCTATCTGGTGCTGAGTGTTTGACATACATATTGATGAAAGCTGCCTCGTTGGACTCACACAACAGATCCTATTAATTCCCAGTTAAATTTATGGCATTTCAGCTACAGCGCCAGATCAGCATTGCTCCCAATTTTACATCACATCAAAGCATCACTCGCCCGCCTGCAGCCAGGTACGCACACGTGTGCATTGCCCACTGCTGCACAGAGTATTTGAGGTGCTCAGGGCGCTATGGCTGCATGGATGCACAGGGTCCATGGCGTGCACAGGGTGTGCAGGCTGACTGGAGTGCTGTTATCACTCCATCCTCGGAAGCAAGAGGCCTGCAATGCATCCATGCCAGTTGGAGCAGCCATCGTTCTGAGTTCAGTGTCCCAAAGCTTGCTCCTGCAGATGATCTGCTCCTTAACTATTCCTCACTCAAGGCAACTTGCTGAATACAGCAGCTGCTGGCTGCAGACCCACAGACAGAGCACACCCCGCACCCACAGCCCACCTCCAGCACCTCTGTCCGAGGAACAACTGACTGGGAACGCGTTTACATCGCTGCTAAATCACATCTTCTGGTCTCTCACCAGAGAGCATCAGCTCACTCAATTCCTGAATATTTTTTCAAAAGCAGTTTCCTACCTTTATTTTTTTAAAAAAACTTTTTTTTTCTTTTTAACCCATAAAGTCAGTATCTCCTGGTAGACAGAGAAAAGCAGATATAAAGCTAGAAAGCACCCAAGGTTCGCTGCAGGGACTCCACAGCCCACAGCCCATGGCTATCCCAGCCCTGAGCTTGCATCTCGCTGCTGACCTCAGGCACTGCTGCCGGGCATCGTCAGCACACGTGTCCCACACCAGGTGGGCTCTGGCCACATCCCCAGAGCCAGGTCTTGTGCCGAGGAGTTCCCCAGCATGCCCAAAGCCCAGCTCACAGCCTGAACTGCTATTTGGAACCACAGAGAACTGCTCCTAATTCCTTCCTGACAGATACTGCATTCTGTCTTTGAAGCAGAGCGGCTCAATATGTAAATACAGAGTTACATCACACCGCCGTTCCTCCATATTTGGTGATTTAGTATGGCTCCAGCTCTAGGAAGACCACAAATCCCTTCCACCAGGCTCCCACACAATTAATCACAGCCTCCTGTTGTGTTCATTTGCTGCATGTCACAGTCAGCACGTGGAAATGGGCACTGCCCTGTGCCACTCCGGGAAAAGCCCCCCAACATCCATCTCTGGCAAAATGAAGATACGGAATTTTTTTAACCTCATTTACAAAACACTGGCACAGCAAATGGCTCTCCGTTTAAAAAAAAAAAAAAAAAAAAAAAAAAAAAAAAAAAGCTAAGAAAAGGAATTATTTACCCTTTTTTTAAAGCGCACTTCATGCCGATTGTTGCACAAAGCAGAACTCGGCCTCGGACATTTGTACGGATGACATGTGGTTGTGTAAATCACAAACAAAATCAAGATACATCTGTCAAAACCACCATCAGAGACAAGAGTGAGCGCGGAGAGGCATTTATCATTTGGCTGAGGAGGCAGGCTGCAGAGAGCGGCCTTTCCTGTCAAACCAACCTTTTGAAATTTCCAACATGCCCTTAAACTTTTCGAATAAGCATGTCTGTGCGCTTCAGCAACTGCCCTCTCTACTCTGGCCTGGCCAGTCGAAAATGGCATCTTAAAGTCAAGGTCGGTGGTGTCACTTTGCCATGGGGCTGTGTTTAATTACAGTCCATACGCTGACAGCCAATATGGAACCTAGGCTGGCTGATGCTCACTTAACTCCTTCACTGCCAGCTCTACCCGCGGCTCAGCAGCTCCTTCCCCGCACACGCACAGCGCCGGACCTCCTCCTGCAGCGCGACGGCGGCTGCAGCACGGCTCGATGTGAGCGCAGCTGCACACAGCGCTGCCAGACACGCCGAGCTGCCTGACATGCCTGCTGCTCTGCCTCTGCGCAGCCACCAGGAGCACAGCCAGGCACAAGACTCCACTGCGTGCGACCACAGACAGACACGCAACTGAAACAGAAATAAGCTTGCGAACACTTCTCCTCATTTTAATTTACCTGCTATGTGTTCCTGTTTTGGGCAAATTCCTCTCGATGACGTTGACAAACAATCATCATCCTCTGGCGTAACTTGGATGCCAACCTCCACGGGATTGGATGCTTTTTTCAGCTCGCTTGGTGAGGGTGAGGGTGGCTTATCCACAGCCTTCTCTAAGCAGAGACTGCCATTGCATTGTTTCCGTTTGTGCTCAATAAAAATAAGAATGTCCCCCAACGGGAAGTTCATCTGACACTGGCCACAGGTGAGGAGGTCATGGTCCCCTTCTGGAGCTCCCAACGTGCTATGGTCAGGTTCATCATCGGTGAGAATGGCTTCAAGAGGTTCAGCTGCGTTTGGAGAAACAAAAGGAGACACGTTAGAACTCTGGTAATGAGCGCTGGGCACGGGGGCACGTGGGAAGCTCCCAGCCCTGAGCATTGCTGTGTGGCCCCCCCAGCAAAGAGGTGCCCCGCAACCATCGCCACTGCAACAGGAACTGAATTTATTGGTGACCGGGAACACGCTGTGCAGGAGCAGCCACAGCCTGCACAACCCTGCCACGGTATCTGCTCTCGTGGATGAGGACAAATTTCTGACTCGATTTAACGACTTACTGGTAAAATCAAACGAACAGTCTTTGAGAATGTGCTGCAAAGCTGCGGTGGTGCTAGGAAAACAAGTGAATGCTGTGCTTTATCTCCAGATGTATTATTTATGTACATGAATTCAAGGCTGAAAGCACTGCACACGCTCACACACACACAGAGGTGTATTTCCCTGAGCCAGACCCACTTTGTAAAATTTTTGCTCATGAAATATTTTGCTCATGACACGTGTGCACATGCAGAGGAAAGGTTCCAACGCACACCCTGTGTGTGCAACAAGCGGGCAGCACAAGCACTGCGAGCAGCAGCAGAGGGAAGGCAGGGAGACGGGGCTCTCCCCACGCAGGTGTGCCGCTGCCCACATTGGTGGCTCACAATTTGCACACTGAAAAAAGCAGCAGCCGCTCGCGGAGAGGGAGGAAGGAGAAAAGAAAGAAAGAAAGAAAGAAATAGCAGAGAAGCAACTGATAAAAATCAAGTGCAGTCAGAATTCCTGCAGGGTGGGAGGAGGAACCTCTTGCTATCCGGCTGCTCTTCAGGGTTCAAATAAATTCCAAATTCACCAACAATTCCACCCAGAGATACCAACTAAACAGGATACGGTACAGCACTTAAGGACATGAGGCAATTAGTCATTTTTCCTTTTTCATCCTGAAATAAAGACATGCCTAAATTCTCTGCAACGTGTTAGTACCAGCGGCCTTTCACCATACACCAGCCAGCATGGCCAAGCAAATGCCACAGTTCTGAAAAGCAGAGAGTGCTCTCTCTGAGATCAAAATACCTCAGCAACCGTTGTCAAAGTTGACAAATTTTCTGAATGAGCTCCAAAAGGCTTCATTACGAGGCTATTTCTGTTCACATAATCATCAGAGGATGCTCTAACAAGGTAGAGTCGTCTTTCTTTTCTCTTTGCCTGTTTTTTTTTTTTTTTTGGTTTTTTTTCCCTTAGTTTGCACGACAATACCTCAGCACTGCGTGTACAGCCCCCACCGGGGTAGGCTTGCCGGAACAAAATACAGCAACACAGTGCTATTCCCCTGCCTGTGCAGCACCGCACGTGCTAATGGCAACGGCAGAAAGGAGAGGGTGCTGCAGGCACAGAGCACCGCCACTCACTGCCAGGTAACATGGGCAAGACGGAATGCAACTCCTAAACAGTTAATGGGTCTGACCTTCTTTAGCTAGCTGCCAATTTCACGTTTAATGAACTTAAAGCCACAGAGAATCAAAAAATAGATTTTAATTTGGCTGCATGATATTGGAACTGATTTTGATAAAGTGCAAAAATCGTGTGAACTCAGGTCAAATTTATTTCAGCCCTGCCTAGGCTGAATACTGGGGAGGAAGATCTGGAGTAGCTCCCAGTTGTGCTGCATGAAATCGTATCGAGAGAGCAGGCTGCCACCCATACCTCAGCTCCAAGTAGGGCACGGGGATGCAGCCCAGCAGCTCTTGCCTCTGGTACCACTTCTCATTTAACAGAAGGTCAACCACGGGAGGATGAAGGTTACGTTCAGACTGACAAAAGCAATGTCTCAATCACCTGCTTTTCCTTCCCCACGCGCAGAGCAAGCGGCTGCATTCCTGGCACCCGAGGGCAGTGGGATGGGCTGCAGGATTGCTGCGTGCCATTTTTCTCCCCAGCCATCCCTTGTCTTCGGACAGAGGGAGCAAAGCAGCGCAGGACTAATTCCTCCTGTAGCTCGCTGCACACAGCAGACAAAGGTATTGGGGCCGAGCTGTAAATCCAACTTCTACCTCACCAACTGGACAGCGAAACACACAAAATAAACAGCGTTCCCTCCGCAGCTCGCTCAGCAAGGAGCTCTGCACAGTCATTCCTCAATTACAAGGTTTTCCCTCGGCCTGATTTATTTCTGACGCCGTCAGTGTTATTTAGCAGGGGAAGGGAACATTGTGCTGAGACACCAGACAGTTGAAAGTAGTGCTAAACAACAATAGACTTTGCTAAAGTCTGCTCTGCCGGGGCTGATTTACAATCAAACCCAGGAAATGAAGTGGTAATTCAGAGGTTGCTGATTACACCTCCACATTTCACCTAATTAATTTTATAGGAGGCAAAGTTCTTGAAAATAACAAGATGATCAAATGTACAGATATAAAACCTGTAACCTCAACATTTTCTATGCTCTTAATGTAAATTATTGCTAATTAACGAGAATTATATAGTAATGTATGAAATACGGCTGGCACCGCACTCCTCGCACAACACTCAGCTCCAATGGAAGCAGAGCCAGCAGAACACGGCTGTATTCTTACTGCTGTCTCAAAAAAAAAAAAAAAGGAAAACAACAACAACAACAACAAACAACAAAACGGATCTCCAAAGAAAGCCGAATACACAATTCACCTGGTGTACCCCTGAGCTGCCGGATGCGTCCTTTAATTTTTGTGCAGGCTGAATTCCCTGCCTAGGCACCTAATCACTCGTCCCTGTTTTTAATGCAAATTGCTCTGCCATGAACATATCTCTCCGCTCCTCCTCGCCCTCCTGCTCCCTCCTTCTTCCCCGTCCCCAGGCACCACAATCTCCCCCCGCCGGCTGCGGGGACCCGCGCGGATTTTCTCCTGCCCGAGAAAAACGAGAAGGGGAGCGGCGCGCAGAGGGACCGAGGCCGGTCCGGTTCGGCCCGGCTCGGCCCGGCTCAGGAGCGCAGAAAGGAGAGCTTAAGGGGTGGAGAGGGAAAGGTGGTCGCCTCGTGCCAACTTTGCTCCAACTGCGGCCGGAGCTCGTGGCCCAAAGCGGGGGCGAGGCGCGGCGGCACCGGGCGGCCCGGGGGGAGGGGAGAAGAGGGGGGCCAAACTCCGAGCAAAAGTTGCCATCCACCCCCACCAAAAAAAATAAAAATAATTTTAAAAAAAAGAGTCCGCCTGGCCGGGGGGCGCGGGGGCTGCGAGGAGTCCGGGCCGGGGGCGGCTGCGGCGGCCGCGCTGCTGGCAGCGGCCGAAAGGAAGAACAAAGGCGAGGGGAGAGGGGCCGGCAGGGAAAGGAAGGGAGAGGAAGGGAAGGGGCCGGCGGCGCGCCCCCCCCCCCCCCCCCCCCCGGGCCCCCCCCCGGGCGCAGAGGACCGGCCAGGTTCAAGTCCGCTGCCGGCGGGGTTTTTGATGTCGGTGTGCCTCCTAGCGACCGCCCGGCACATCCCGCCCGGCGCATCCCGCCTGCCCGGCTCCTCGGTCCCGCTCCTCCGGTCCCGCTCCCGCCCCCGGCCCGGCCCGACCCGGGGCCGCACACGTGCGGAGCTCCGCGGCCGCGCGGTTACGCGCCCGGCTACGCGTCCTTCCGCTGCCCGGCCCGCGCGGAACGGGGCGGCCCCTCCGGGACGGCGGCGTGGGCCAGCCGGCGTCGCGGCCCCCGCCTCGGGAGAGGCGTCCCCAGGAGCGAGAGCCGAGCGCCGGCGTAGTGCCGAGGCAGTGCATGCGGGAACGTGCGGAGAGCGGTGGGAGGGAGCGAGGGAAGGAAGACGGCCCGGAAAGTTCTGCAAAGCGTGAGCGGGGACTGAACGCGTCGCGCCGGGTCCTGTGCCGGCCCTGGGAAGGAGCAGGGAACACTCGCTGGGAATAATGGGAAAAAAAAAGATGGGAAGAAATAAAAGGGAAAAAAATAAACAGCCACGAGTAGCGTATATCGTTTCCCTTTCTGCACGCTCATCCGAGAAAAGGGGGATTTTCTGTCCCTTCCTCCCCCTCGCCCCGCATCTTTCTGCAACCCGAGGTGCCCTTTGTTGTGCGTTGAGCGGTCCGCTCTCCGTGTCCCGCCCGGAGCGCGGTGCCGCTAGCGGGGAGCGGCGGTTCTGCGGCGAGCGGCGCTCCGGGACCGGGCTGTGTCTTCTCTCTCCCAGGGAGAGCACGTTGGGTTTGGGGCTTAAACGCGGGCGCGGGGCTCCCGGCTGTGCGAGTGTGCGAGCGCGAGTGCGTGTGTGGTGTGCGCTCAGCCCGGGCTCGCTCTTGTCTGTGTTTGTTGGCAGGAGGCTTCCCGCACACGCGGCGCTTGTAAACATTCAGACACGAGATTTTTCCCAATCAAAATCCACTTCCACTTTTTTTGAAAATCTTCCAAAAAATAGTAAGTGAGCGAGGCAGCGCGAGGCGAGGGCGAGGAGGGAATCCCTCTCGGCGCGCCACGGCCACCCGCCCGGGGCCGCCCCCCGCCCCAGCCCGAGCCGAGCCTAGTCGGGGCTGGGGACGCAGAGGGCGCGGGGTGCGGGGGGAGGTGGGGCGGCGGGGCCCCCGGGGCGGCCGGAGCGGGTCCGGCCCGCACCCCGCGACGGAAACAAAAGACAGCCGGGCCCGAGCACCCGTACGCCCTCGCCCCCGGCCCCGCGGAGGGTGCGAAGGCGCGAGCGGCGGGGAGCGGCGGGCTGCGCTCGCCGGACTTTCTCCGCGCCTCTCTCGCTCCCGGCCGCCCGGCGCCCACCGCCGCCCCGGCCGCGCTGCCCCGCGCTTCGCCCGCCCGCCCCCGGTCGTGCTGCCCGCCCGCGCGGGGCGCTCTGCGGAGCGGGGCCGTGGCGCGGAGCGGCGGGACGAGGCGGGATGACCGGAGCGGCGCGGGATTGCGGGCGGCGGGAGTTCGATCTGCTCCGCTCGCTCGCTCCCTCTCACTTTTATTTCTTTTCTTCCCGCTCTCGCTCGAATAGAAAATTAAATCCGCGAAAGGGGAATTGAAGGAGTCGCTCCACAGCTTACTTACGCGAAAATTCCCGCTTGCTTAAGTGCTGGGGCTTGCCCTGCTTGCGGCGCGACATGGTGGGCTGGCAGCGGCGGAGCGCGCGGCTCACATCGGGAGCGCCGGGCTGCGGAGGAAGGAGGCTCCCGAGAAAATATCTTCATCAATGTCTTTTGACATCCAAAATAAATTAGAAATAATACAAAGATGGCGCAGGGAAGATGAATTGTGGGATAGCAGTCATGGCTTTTTTTTTTTGTGCGAGGAAAAAAAAGAGAGGGAGAGAGAGAGGGAGAGAGAGGGAAAGAGGGAAGAAGAGAGAGAGCGAGATGAAAAAAATGGCAAAAGCCCCCCTGAGCCGCAAGTTCAAGTGCGGACGTGACGTCCCCGCGAACTTGAACGTCAGGAGCCTGGATGGACAGAGACATACAAAACATGGGCAGGGCGAGCCGGGGAGAGGGGAGGAGGGAAGGCGAAGGCAACACCAATGGACACTCATCGGGGGCTGGACATGAAAAAGAGAGCAGGACAAGCCAATGGCCGAGGACCGCGGGGGGGAGCGGGGAGGGGGCGCGCCGGGCGCACGCCGCCGGAGGGCCCCGGGGCCAGGGCGGAGGGGGCCGGCCGGGCGCGAGCGGCCTCGGGGCGAGGGAGGAGGGGGCGGGGGGAGCGGTACCCGAGCCCGGGAGAAGGACTGGAGGAAGGGGAAAGGGGAAGGAAAGAGAGAGAAAGAAAGAAGGTAGCGGCAGCGCGCACACTCTCACACCCCCGCTGGAAAAGTAAATACATCTCTGAAGCCAGAGCCAGGGGGGGGGGGGGACGTCGGGCAGGCTGCCCCCGAGAGGGGCGGGGGGTAGACCGAAGGAAGCCAGCCAAGAGCGGGGACCACCCAAAAGGAAGGGGGACCCATCCGGAGCCGGCGTCCCCACTCGGCCCCCTCCCCCCAACCTCCGCGCCGCGGAATCCCCTCCTCCCGGGAGCCGCGGCCTGGCCCCGAGGGACGGCGGCGGCGGCCCCGCGGAGAGCCGAGGGGCGGCGGGGGCCCGGCCCGGCCTGAGGCAAACTTCGGCGGGGAGCGGCGTGCCGGCAGCCGGCCGCCTGCCCCGGAGCGGGGGAGGAGGTGGCGGGGGAGGGGGGGTGGCGGGAGGAGTTCCGCGAGCGGAGGAGCGGGAGGAGAAGGCGCGGGAGAAGAGGGAGCGGAGACCCCGTCGCCTACCCCTCCGAGCCCAGCCCGCGGCAGCGAGCGGCGACGCGGGGCAGCGGCTGCAGCTGGGGGATGCGCAGCGCCGGCCACAACTTCCCCGCCGCCGGCACGGGGAGGGTTCAGGTTGCAGCGGGAACGGGTTTGGGAGCCGGGCGTGCCCGCACCGCCGGGCCGAGAGTACCCGCGTGCGGCACGGAGGAGAAGGCGGAGAACGGAGGTGGCGGCTCGGACGGAGCGCGGGAGCGGCGCGGGGACTTGTTGACCGAGCGAGGCGAGCCCGTGTCGGAGCGGGACCTCGAACCGCGGGCGGCGAAGGGTTCGATCGGCGCGAGGCGGGGAGGAGGCGCGGGGCCGGAGAGCTCCAGGTGCCACGGTCACGCTGCGCACAGGGCGGGCGGCCGTGTCCGTGCGGCCACGTGCTCCGTGCGGGGCGCGCATAAACAGGCGTGTGCGGCACAGGTACGTTCGTACGATTTGATTTGTATATAATGGAGCGTGTCAAGCTTCTCGAGGTAACTGCAGTGCAGAAGTAATGACTTTATTACCTCTGAAACGTTCTGCAGTTCGCATGTAACAGTGCTCTGAATAATTACAAGTCATTACGCTACCGTGCGCTCTCCGAAGCCCACGTACGGTGGGATGCCTGGCCGGGGCCGGTTCTGATAAATAACAGGCAGCGTCCCATCGGTTCTCTGTAAAAGCTCCTAGCGAATTAATCTCTTAGTTACACCTCAGCCTGCCGGCTCGCTGCACCGCGGCTGAGATTCCAGCGGTGACTGCCCCGGCCGCACCGTGAGACGTACTCGACAGCTGATCGTGCGGATGCTCTCGGGAACGGCTGCGAGCGAGTCCCGCCGGCAGCGTGCCCTCAGTGCCGGCACGGAGCAACAGCTCGGGCGAAGCGGAGCCGTGCCTCAGCGGGGCGCTCCCCCCGGCCGGCCGGGCGCTGCTGTCGGCACTGATCACAATAACGCGCTCTGCCCGCCGCCCCCCGCGCCGCTCTGTCATGTGACGAGAGGGCGACAACAGACCGGGAAACGAGGCGTCGGGAGGCGTTCTTAGAGCGCCGTATCCACGGGCTTTATTAAAGCAGGTGGGTTTTTATTTTGCTGCGCTTTAGTGGAAGGAAGGAGGCTGTTTAACGAGCAGCCGTGGACACGAATAACTGTATTTACAAGCCCTGACGCGGCTTTTGCCAGGCGGTAAATCCTGAGCCGCGACCATTATTCGCCGTAGCCCGGGGCGAGCAGCCCAGTCCGTGCCCCATAACGATGCAGCGCGGCTCTCCCCGAGCCCTTCGGTGTACTCCGGTGTCAGCTCGCGGCCAGCAGTGTTTTGAATGGGGGACTTTTCTCGGCGCTTCCTGAGGTATGGTTCTGTCTCTGATCTCCGCCTTTAATGGCCGAGCCCTGGTTTATGCTTTATAACGTGTTGACAAGTTTTCTAACAGACTTTCTGAAATAACGCACATATATTCACGTCGGTTACAAACTCTACAGTATTTTTAGCGCCGAGTAGATCTATATCCTAATGCACTGAGAGGGAGTGTAAATCATGGAGGATTTCATAGCCCCTTCAGTAGTTTCTGTATGAAGTACGAGCAGCGTGGCCTCCAGACGTAACCTTTTAGAAAAAAAGACAGCTCTTTTATTTTATGGTGTAAAGTGCTTTTAGCTTCAGGGCTCTGAACGTGAACGCGGTCAACAAACAGCTCCTGCGAGGGGCTTAGCTGCGGTCCGGCCCCTGCGCTTGTTGCTGCGCGGCCGTCGGGCGGCTCACGCGGCCCCCTCCCCCCTCCCTCCGCTCCGCCTGTGCACAGCCGCGCACGCCTCGCCCCGGGGAGGGGTTGCGGGGCCCCCGGCGCGGCCGGAGAGGCAGCGGTGGCGGGGGTCCAGCGGCAGCGGCCCCCGGGAAAGGAGGAGCTGGGGGGGCCGCAGGCGCTGCCCTTCCTATAGCATCCTCTGTACGCCGCCCGGGCACGTGGCGCGTGGTCAGTCCGCACTGTACCTACTGCATAAAGTGACGGCATTGCTCAGTCACGCTCATGGACGCAGCACTTAAACACAGCTAAAATTTTTCAAAGGCTGCTAGTTGTGGAAATGCGGCAGGCAAAAGGACGAGTGGGAACAAAACTGGGCAAGCGCTAAAGACAGCCCAGCAAAAGGGCTGCAGGACTGGCGCGCACTCACGCGTCACCTCCCTCTCAGCCACGGCCCTCCCCTGCCGTGCCATCCTGCCGCTGTGCCTCACCCCAGCCAGATCATCCACTCCTTGGTACGGACTCCTGGCTCCAGAGCTCCAGAGCAGTCTTGGGAAAATGTGCCTGATTGCCCTAGCCGTGTGCAGGCAAGCCCAGAGGTTGGCGCTGGAGCCTGAGCCATAGGGTTGTCGCATTCACCTGGGAGTCCAGCCTCAGGAAGAGGCTGCCCACATGCTGCAGCCCCTCAGCTGGCTCCCATCCTGCCCCTTGCAGACCAGAGCCCCAAGACGCCTGCCGAGAATGTCTGTGTGCCTCCGGTGCCTCAGCCCTGGAAACGGCAGCATGGTCCTTCCTTCCAGCGGAGCCTGAAGGCTGCTCTATAAAGGGACTGCCTCAAATGGGGAAGTGTGGTCTGCCTCCCTCTCACAGACAGGCACATGGTCCCTGTGTGGCGCTGAGGCCCAGAGGTACAGAGGAGCGTGATGCAGCATGTGCTGCATGCTGCCATCCCTGTCTGTCTGCTGATTTAGCTGCAGACTTGGTAGCAGGTGAGTTCAGGAACTTAGGTGGGCAAATGTTCCCACTTCAGTGCTCCAACTGTCATTCATTCATGGCAGCGTTCTCACATGTCAGAATGGAACATTAGAACCAAACACAAATTCCAAAACAATGCCAGTCCTCCTGAGCCACGTGTTACATAACGGCCAGCATCACAGGCACCCTCCTCACCCAGTGATAGCCTCAATCAGGCAGAGGCACCATGGGTGGAACTCTTATCGCACCAAGCTGACTCCCGACGAATGAGCAGAGGACTCGCGTGTCCTAGAAATGCCGTGTGCATTGGTACTGCAGGGCGAGCAACGTGGGCACACTGCTTTCGGTTTTCTCCTTTTTTGTTGCTGTTTTTGTTTTGTTTTTTTACTAAGGGCTCAAAATAAGCTCTGATCCTGCAAGCACTTACTAGCAAGCACTGCACACACAGCAGCGAGTCTGTGCAGGATCACACACATATGGGCATCAGGTGACCAAAAGATTTTGTTATGGGCTGCTCTAGACAGGATCCAGAACAAGGTGCTGAACTTGAGAAGAGTTTTTCCAGAGGTTACAGCAAGGTGTGGGTTGTCAGCCTGCTCCTGCTTGCGCAGCACTGGGCACAGTGGAGCCCTGAACCTTGACTGGGCAGTCTAGGGACGGCTGTAAAATGAATGGCACAAAGCACTCGGGATGTAGACTCATTTGCAAACCCCTCCTCTAATTGTACACATCCTCGTGCTCGTGGGTAGGCAGGCGGGGAGGCACTGGTTATAAAGGATGCCAGTAACAGCTCACTTTTAATCTCATGTTTCATTTTGGCCAAAGTCTGGTTTTAGTTTTCACTACTCCAGAAGTTATTTTACTATTAGTTATTTTGTATTTTATTTATGGTCTCCTATTTTTGTACGTAAGCATGTAACACGCCCCTGACAACTTGTATCCTAAGCTTCGAGCTGAGGCAATTTAAGCGTGGTGGGTTTAGAATCGATGTATGGTGTGAATCCATACGATCTTAATTATAGCAGTATAGCAGCCACGGTACGAGGGAAGTAGCAGGGCTTTCATTACTAAAGAGGCACAGTAGTTAAGGTCTGTCAGTGTTCCTGTTACAATCCCCATCTTGAAGAGGTTATAACTTGGGCTGTGTAAATTTGATTGAGCTGAAACTTGGGACTCAAACTGCCAGTCCAAATAGGGAATTACCTTATGAATAATTGGCTAACCCGCTGCTTGATTCAGAGGCCTTTATAAAATGATTTTAATGGGTTCTAATGTTTTTTTCTTTTACTGACATCTAGGGTATGAATGTGGTACTTCTAGCTCTTTTGAAGCTCCATATTGAACAGCACATATATATGCATTAAAACTATACAGCAACATAGGAGTTCATGGGGCACATGTGTCACTCTTACAGATCCATGTGTGGACATTTGCAGACCGAGACCATGTAGAAGAAGTGTGACAATC